AATCAAGTCCGTTCTTTTTTAATAAATACCAAAGTATTTGTCTGTTGACAGTTGTCAGACACTTGAGCGAGGGTGGAGAAGGCTCACCCCTACAGTTATAATAGATCAGTCCGATCAGTCCGAATTAGCCTAAACCCTGGTCACCACTCCCCTAATTAGATAGTCCCCTGTTCTTTAGGATCAAGTGACTAGCAAAACACAGTGTTTGCTTTGAATAATAACATAATCCTTTTAAATGATCTGCTCGAATTTAAACTAATATGTACTAGCAGTGAGTCTGTATGATTACCCTTTGTATTGAGTAAATCATAAGTCTGTGGAATCGTTATTCTTTTAAAAGATTCTTCTCAATGACTTCTCAACTGAGATTGCGGGTGTTTGGACTAAGCAATGTATATATATATGTATATATGTATATATATGTATGCTTCACAATAGTTGGAAATATTACAACTAAGTCAGGTTTGCAGAAAGTAGAGTATGTCACATCACAGAGAGGAACAACGCAGGTGCTTTTTGAGTAGCACCCCTATAACAAGGAAGAATTGTGTTCACTGGAGGTACACTGTTAAGACATGTACAGAAAAGTACAAGAACGGTCCAAGAACGAACAAATTCCTGGAAGTGTTCAAGTGCCTGCCTATCAAGCCAGGAACACCATAAAGGTCTGGAAAACCAGAACCTGTTTCGTATGACCGATATTTTGAAGACAATCGAGAAGGCAGACCGCCTGAAGATTGCCCAGTTGGACTTGAGTGCCGCTCCTCCAGCATGGAAGAGAGCGTATAGAGAAATACACAACCGACTGGACAGGTTGCAGGAACAGCTAGAGGGAGGGATGAAGACTCACATCCAACACCTGGATGCTGTGGGGTTAAATTGACAAGATCAATGTACATCATCATGCATTGACTTTCAGTGCTGTTAATACAATATTTCATAAAATAATTAGTAAAATATCTCTGATTCAGTGCTTTATTTCCTATTAAAATATGTGCTTTGTTATGTAAACATGTAACTATAATACACCTATGCCACACTATAAATTTCACCTTATTCTTTCAGTTTATTGTCCTTATCGTCATGGGTAACAGTATTTGCTTTTGTGTTCACCCAATCATACAATTTTGTGTTTCGTGTCCGATAAATGAGGGGACACCTGATGTAGCAACCCGCTTCATACAATCAACTGACCACAATAGTACGTCAGTAAACAATTTAACCCTATTTCAACATCAAATGTGGAAATATACGTTGCATCTTATAAAGTGTCGAATGAGCTTTCGAGCATTGACACATAAGTACATGTATCTTCGAAATCGTACTTCCACGAGTATCTGTTGAAGCATGAATCTGAGTAACAGCTATATGTGTTGTGCAACACACCTGTGTTGTTCAGTAATGAAAATATAATTGGCAGGTGTTAAGAATCAGGTTTTGAAAGGATGTCAAAAGATAATATTTCTCTATAAATGGGTTCTGATCCAATGACATACTCAATAACGCTACAACCGTTATTACGAATAAAAGTAAGCAAAAGTCACCAACACCTTTGTCGCCATTGAATATGTCCAAGTTAAAAGGTTTACATAGATGAATCAGGTATTTGCCAGGTACATTTACACTATTGTCACAAGAGAACCATCGTTCCTTATAATGATCAAATATGTAATCATTCATACCTTCAAAATCAGGTGAAATATACTATCATCAATGCAGTCATCTATTTGCCGGTTCTTCCATTAATGCCTCCACATTTGATACTTTCATAACCAGATAAGGTGGACGTGAAATCATTGTAATCATCCAACAGTAACAATATGCCGTATTTACAAGTCTTATCTTTGTACCAGTTGGAACCTTCCGGTTGAATGTATACAAACGTGAACAATACATCTTTCCATGTAAAAACAAACATTTATTGAATAACAGAAATATGCAGTTAGTACTTTCATGAATATTCCTTTACAAACTTAAATAGACAGATTCTTGTGAATACCATAATGACACCTAATATCCTTCCGGTTGTTGATATCCGTGTTCCTGGAACAGCGAAACACTTGAGATTGGGAACAGGTGAGAATAATCGTCACTAGTCCATAGTTCGGACAGATGAAAAATATTCAGATTATTAACAAATGCAAGAACAGCTATATCGTTTTCTTTAATCTTTATACCAGAAATCTTCCACGTGGAGATAGAAACATGTTGTCGATTGACCTAGCGATCGGGGGTGCGTTTGGACGAGCTCGCCCGCGTTCCTATGGCCTCTTAGGTCTGGAACCGTTACTATTTAATATAATAATGCCATAAAGTGGTAACTGATAATTATATTGCAGTGACGATCCAATGTTCAGTGTGTAAATCGTGAAATGAATAGGTCATATGCACATCGAGTTATCGCACTTGATGTATGGTCTATTTAATTCTGTGGTAATGAAGACAGTGATTTCACACATCAACATGTATGTTTAAGTGTGACGGTACACTTGTATGCGAAAGGTGTGAATATACACAGATGCGCGCTCACTATCAAAGTGTAATAATATTGAAAGTGAGGTTTCGCGTCAGCTATAATTGATATATAGCTCTTCCATCCCTGGACAATGTCTTAATATTGTATCATTGTAGGGTGCTACGGTAAGTGAGTTGCGGTTAGGTTTCCGATGCACATTTAGTAAAGTAATTGCCGAATTTATGACCCAAGAATAAGTAGAATTCTATCATTTTGTATAGCTCAGCGGGAGATTGTATGGCACGGCGTGTTACTATCTGCGTGGTCGGCCTAAAGTGGATTGTATGGCACGGCGTGTTACTATCTGCGTGGTTGGCCTAAAGTGGGAGATTGTATGGCACGGCGTGTTACTATCTGCGTGGTCGGCCTAAAGTGGGAGATTGTATGGCACGGCGTGTTACTATCTGCGTGGTCGGCCTAAATTGGGAGATTGTATGGCACGGCGTGTTACTATCTGCGTGGTCGGCCTAAAGTGGGAGATTGTATGGCACGGCGTGTTACTATCTGTGTGGTCGGCCTAAAGTGGGAGATTGTATGGCACGGCGTGTTACTATCTGCGTGGTCGGCCTAAATTGGGAGATTGTATGGCACGGCGTGTTACTATCTGCGTGGTCGGCCTAAATTGGGAGATTGTATGGCACGGCGTGTTACTATCTGCGTGGTCGGCCTAACTTGGGAGATTGTATGGCACGGCGTGTTACTATCTGTGTGGTCGGCCTAAATGGTCATCGTCGTATGGCCATTACTTTGGAGCATGTGTGAAGTATCTGGTGGCAGCTATATTCCGTGTCGTCTTGAGAGCCAACTCTTGTAGGTCTTTACCATTTAATATGTGGGGGCTGGGGGAGAATATGTGTTTGGGGGCCTGCGGCAGTGCAGGTGTGAGTGTGAGTGGGGGTCATGTATTTTTCTTCATCTATTTGGACTGAGATATTTTTCAAGCTGTCTAAAGCGCCTCACTAGCAAGCGCCATTTTCTGAGATCGTATTGCACAACCATTCTGACACTCTTGGTAATGCAGAAGGCTGCGGTGTTGGGGAGTATATTATTCGGAAAGTTCTTGATGGGTTCAACTATGCAGCGTTTCCTGGGAGAAGTCCCATTCGCTGCCTGGGCTGCGTGAGGAGGCGGGCAAGGGCCCTGAGCTGATGATGAGCCTTACCAGCCTGACTGTGCCAGGACCACCCTACCTCTCTCTGCTACATACTATTTGTAAACTGTAAACCGTAATAATACACAAAGGAACCAATACAAGTTCGTGTCTATCGCAACGAAGGGAACGAAAAAAGCCAGTTGTCACGTCCAGGATGTCGGACTATTTGAAGGTTTGAGGGCGACACATGTAGTTAAGAAAAATCAATTGATTTTGGATGGAAAATCCCTGGCCAGTCTTCCTATCCTGTTGTTCAAATGTTCTCGCAACCGAATACCCGGACCCTGTTTCAGCAAGCCCAATAAGACCTTTTGTTTTTTGTCTTTGTGGTTTATTGATTACTGAAGAACTGACCTCATTATCTTAATTGTGGACACAACGCATAATTCACGGCATACTTGCAATGAACTTGTCAATATACCTCATTTGACAATGAAGGTTTCTTCCTTGACATTGGACCTTTTTATGTGAAAACAAGTTGACGTTAGTTCCCATTGTGTAAGCTGTTTACATGTAGGTATATACTTGGGTTGGATTTATTTAAATGCGAGGTAATGACGCTAAATGCATCTAGGAGTAGGTACCAGGCAAGCGGTCTCTCAGGCTCATGTTTGTGTAAGCTGTTTACATGTAGGTATATACTTGGGTTGTATTTATTTAAATGCGAGGTAATGACACTAAATGCATCTAGGAGTAGGTACCAGGCAAGCGGTCTCTCAGGCTCATGTTTGTGTCAGCTGTTTACATGTAGGTATATTCTTGGGTTGTATTTATTTAAATGCGAGGTAATGACGCTAAATGCATCTAGGAGTAGGTACCAGGCAAGCGGTCTCTCAGGCTCATGTTTGTGTCAGCTGTTTACATGTAGGTATATACTTGGGTTGGATTTATTTAAATGCGAGGTAATGACGCTAAATGCATCTAGGAGTAGGTACCAGGCAAGCGGTCTCTCAGGCTCATGTTTGTGTCAGGTGTTTGGCTTTCCTCACTAAATATTCTTTATTGATGAGGACGGCCATACTGAGTATTTTCCTTGGAGCTATAGTTTAATGGGCGGCGAGGTAGCCGAATGATTAAAGCTTTCGGGTTCGATTACCGTATATTGATACATTACGTAAAGCCCATTTCTGGTGTCGCTTGCGGTGAAATTGCTGGAATACTTCTAAAAGTGGCGTTAACCCACTGCATTTTAGTTTTCAGGTAAATGAAGGCCGAGTTATTATTTATACGAAGTTATTATTCCAGGCATTAGCCCCATTGAAATAGCCCGCCGCTAAGTTCTTTAACCATTGATTTGTAAAGATGTAACTGAGATAAAACACAAGACTGAAGTACCAATACTGTCGATAATGCCATTGATCATACATTGCGATACAAGGATTAAGGGAAAGAATCTTCCTCGAACTCGAGGAAAGCAATGGCACCCATCTGGGAGCCCACGGCGATAACCATCTCATGATCGTGGTGATTCACGAAACTGAAACAAAACATAAAACTATATACAATAACATTCACTGAACGGGACTTCAACTGGGGTGATGGTGTATGTGTCACAACAGTTAGGAACATAAAACTATATACAATAACAATCATTGAACGGGACTTCAACTTGGGTGATGGTGTATGTGTCGCTACAGTTAGGAACATAAAACTATATACAATAACGATCATTCAACGGGACTTCAACTGGGGTGATGGTGTATGTGTCACAACAGTTAGGAACATAAAACTATATACAATAACAATCATTGAACGGGACTTCAACTGGGGTGATGGTGTATGTGTCGCTACAGTTAGGAACATAAAACTATATACAATAACAATCATTGAACGGGACTTCAACTGGGGTGATGGTGTATGTGTCGCTACAGTTATAACAGAGTTGAAGAGGTACAGGGGCACTCGAAGGTTAACCTTCAACGTTGACATCCTGGACAAGTGTTTCCCTGGTCCAGGTCTGATAGACACAGCAAGTCACCGTCTACCACCAACGTAGTTTAAACACGTACTTTCTATGTGGCAGTTATCGCTATAAACGGCGAACTAATCATTTTTTAAAAAAGGCTGATGTAACCGCGAGGATACAAGTTACCTGTTCCTGAAGGTCTTATCCCCTTACGGCGGTGTATGCGGTTTGTGTCTCAGTGTGTTCCTGTTTCAATACATATGTGTGTGAGTTGGAAGGTTGACATGTTCTATAAACTCTGCACGTATCTGCTTGTGTGATTGGGGATTGTGTGGGGGACACATATCGTGTCAGATGTCTGTAGTGTCCGTGTGCTTCAATATATACTACCCATCAAAAGTTTAGACTTACTAGTGTAAATGAAGCCACTTACTTCAGTCAACTGTTCTAAACTAGATTTTGGAAAATATTCCATACACTTTAAAGATACTGTTTACACATGTCACATGATAAAACAAATTCGTAACGCTGAAAAGATTATTGTCACGAGTTCAATAAATGATGAAACTCAGTGAAAATTGGTGAATTCTTAACAAACCTTTACACCAACACGCAGCTATTCACATACACGATATTTGCACATGCTTTTCAACAATTTGATGCTTGATCCTCGTGCAATTCATCTGCATGAGGTGTGCAGTTGGTTCCCCCATCTTAGTGGAGAAATTCATCTTCGAAGTAACCTCATACATATACATAACATATAGTGAGTGCTTTAAGTGAGTCTAAACTTTTGATGGGCAGTATAGTTGTGTATATTCGCCTGCTTAGCGTATGTGTGTCACGTTTGTACATGAATAATTTTCCTGTGTATATTATTCTAAGACAAGAATTGTTTAAACGAAAACTAGTGTCTCATGTGTGGTTGTAAAGCGACATGTGGCCCTATAATAAGATATAGTTCATCTTCTTCTTCATGTGGTTACTTGCTCACAACGAATGGTTACAAGGAATTACTTACAGTAAATCACTGATGTACTGTACGCCAGCAGCATCGTTGTCATATAAGGTACGCCAGTTGCCGTTGATGTCTCCCAGGCGTATGTAACTGAGGAAGGTTGCTGTTGGCAAGCCCACGCCCTCTCCTTCTGCCACTGAGTACAGCCATATTCCTCCCATACGACCACTGCCCACCGCAACAATAGGCTGCCCATGGAACATCCCTGTCGCTATCGCCGACGGTTCAGGGCCCTGGGCGAAAGGAAGTTACTCATATTGCATTTCATAGACACAAATGTACTTATCGATACTTAGACTTAGAAGCATGTCCGGTGTTTATAAAAGCGTTGTGTGCATGCAACCTGTGTTTATATCAAGGATTGTCACAGGTAACGTACTTCGACCTACACAGTGTTGGGATCACACTCCATATACTTAGACCTAGACAGTGTTGGGATCACACTCTATATACTTAGACCTAGACAGTGTTGGGATCACACTCCATATACTTAGACCTAGACAGTGTTGGGATCACACTCTATATACTTAGACCTAGACAGTGTTGGGATCACGCTCCATGTACTTAGACCTAGACAGTGTTTGGATCACACTCCATATACACAGACCTAGACAGTGTTGGGATCACACTCAATGTACTTAGACCTAGACAGTGTTGGGATCACGCTCCATCTACTTAGACCTAGACAGTGTTGGGATCACACTCCATATACTTAGACCTAAACAGTGTTGGGATCACACTCAATGTACTTAGACCTAGACAGTGTTGGGATCACACTCAATGTACTTAGACCTAGACAGTGTTGGGATCACTCTCCACGTACTTAGACCTAGACAGTGTTGGGATCACACTCCATGTACTTAGACCTAGACAGTGTTAGGATCACACTCCATGTACTTAGACCCAGACAGTGTTGGGATCACACTCTATATACTTAGACTTAGACAGTGTTGGGATCACACTCCATGTACTTAGACCTAGACAGTGTTGGGATCACACTCAATGTACTTAGACCTAGACAGTGTTGGGATCACACCCCATGTACTTAGACCTAGACAGTGTTGGGATCACACTCCATGTACTTAGACCTAGACAGTGTTGGGATCACGCTCCATATACTTAGACCTAGACAGTGTTGGGATCACACTCCATATACTTAGACCTAGACAGTGTTGGGATCACGCTCCATGTACTTAGACCTAGACAGTGTTGGGATCACACTCCATATACTTAGACCTAGACAGTGTTGGGATCACACTCCATGTACTTAGACCTAGACAGTGTTGGGATCACACCCCATGTACTTAGACCTAGACAGTGTTGGGATCACACTCCATGTACTTAGACCTAGACAGTGTTGGGATCACACTCCATATACTTAGACCTAGACAGTGTTGGGATCACACTCCATATACTTAGACCTAGACAGTGTTGGGATCACACTCCCATGTACTTAGACCTAGACAGTGTTGGGATCACACTCCATGTACTTAGACCTAGACAGTGTTGGACAGTGTTGGGATCACACTCCATGTACTTAGACCTAGACAGTGTTGGGATCACACTCCATATACTTAGACCTAGACAGTGTTGGGATCACACTCCATGTACTTAGACCTAGACAGTGTTGGGATCACACTCCATGTACTTAGACCTAGACAGTGTTGGGATCACACTCCATGTACTTAGACCTAGACAGTGTTGGGATCACACTCCATGTACTTAGACCTAGACAGTGTTGGGATCACACTCAATGTACTTAGACCTAGACAGTGTTGGGATCACACCCCATGTACTTAGATAGACCTAGACAGTGTTGGGATCACACTCCATATACTTAGACCTAGACAGTGTTGGGATCACACTCCATGTACTTAGACCTAGACAGTGTTGGGATCACACTCCACATACTTAGACCTAGACAGTGTTGGGATCACACTCCACTTAGACCTAGACAGTACTTAGACCTAGACAGTGTTGGGATCACACTCCATGTACTTAGACCTAGACAGTGTTAGAATCACACCCAATGTACTTAGACCTAGACAGTGTTGGGATCACACTCCATATACTTAGACCTAGACAGTGTTGGGATCACACTCAATGTACTTAGACCTAGACAGTGTTGGGATCACACTCCATGTACTTAGACCTAGACAGTGTTGGGATCACACTCAATGTACTTAGACCTAGACAGTGTTGGGATCACACTCAATGTACTTAGACCTAGACAGTGTTGGGATCACACCCCATATACTTAGACCTAGACAGTGTTGGGATCACACTCCATATACTTAGACCTAGACAGTGTTGGGATCACACTCCATGCATGTACTTAGACTGTTAGGATCCTAGACAGTGTGTGGGATCACACTCTTAATAGTACTTAGACCTAGAGACAGTGTTGGGATCACACTCAATGTACTTAGACCTAGACAGTGTTGGGATCACACTCAATGTACTTAGACCTAGACAGTATTGGGATCACACCCCATATAGATAGACCTAGACAGTGTTGGGATCACACTCTATATACTGAGACCTAGACAGTGTTGGGATCACACTCCATGTACTTAGACCTAGACAGTGTAGGGATCACACTCCATGTTAGGATCACTTAGAGACCTAGACAGTGTTGGGATCACACTCACATACTTAGTACTTAGACCTAGACAGTGTTGGGATCACACTCCATATACTTAGACCTAGACAGTGTTGGGATCACACTCCATGTACTTAGACCTAGACAGTGTTGGGATCACACCCCATATACTTAGACCTAGACAGTGTTGGGATCACACTCTATATACTTAGACCTAGACAGTGTTGGGATCACACTCCATGTACTTAGACCTAGACAGTGTTGGGATCATACTCATTGTACTTAGACCTAGACAGTGTTGGGATCACACTCAATGTACTTAGACCTAGACAGTGTTGGGATCACTCCCATACTCCTAGACAGTGTTGGGATCACTCCAGACCTAGACAGTGTTGGGATCACACTCTATATACTTAGACCTAGACAGTGTTGGGATCACACTCCATGTACTTAGACCTAGACAGTGTTGGGATCACACTCCATATACTTAGACCTAGACAGTGTTGGGATCACACTCCATGTACTTAGACCTAGACAGTGTTGGGATCACACTCAATGTACTTAGACCTAGACAGTGTTGGGATCACACTCCATGTACTTAGACCTAGACAGTGTTGGGATCACACCCCATGTACTTAGACCTAGACAGTGTTGGGATCACACTCCATGTACTTAGACCTAGACAGTGTTGGGATCACACTCAATGTACTTAGACCTAGACAGTGTTGGGATCACACTCCATGTACTTAGACCTAGACAGTGTTGGGATCACACTCCACGTACTTAGACCTGGACAGTGTTGGGATCACACTCCATATACTTAGACCTAGACAGTGTTGGGATCACACTCCATGTACTTAGACCTAGACAGTGTTGGGATCACACTCCATGTACTTAGACCTAGACAGTGTTGGGATCACACCCATATACTTAGACCTAGACAGTGTTGGGATCACACTCAACGTACTTAGACCTAGACAGAATTCATGTTGGGATCACACTCCATGTACTTAGACCTAGACAGTGTTGGGATCACACTCCATGTACTTAGACCTAGACAGTGTTGGGATCACACTCCATGTACTTAGACCTAGACAGTGTTGGGATCACACTCATTGTACTTAGACCTAGACAGTGTTGGGATCACACTCCATGTACTTAGACCTAAACAGTGTTGGGATCACACTCCATGTACTTAGACCTAGACAGTGTTGGGATCACACCCATTAGGAGCCTAGAGGGAGTGTTGAGGATCATGTACTTAGACCTAGACAGTGTTGGGATCACACTCCATGTACTTAGACCTAGACAGTGTTGGGATCACACTCCATATACTTAGACCTAGACAGTGTTGGGATCACACCCCATGTACTTAGACCTAGACAGTGTTGGGATCACACTCCATGTACTTAGACCTAGACAGTGTTGGGATCACACTCCATATACTTAGACCTAGACAGTGTTGGGATCACACTCTATATACTTAGACCTAGACAGTGTTGGGATCACACTCCATGCACTGGCAAAACATGTTTATTTCTTGGTTTGTGAGGTTTGTACTCACCATGTCGTCAGACCTTGTGTCTAGATGCTGAGGTGGCGACAAGCTTTGCGAAAAACAATCTCCATTGAAGACAGATCTATTGTACTGGCTGACTTCGTACTCTAAATCGCTTCCACTGTCATACACCTGGTTCACGCCGTCGGCGTTCCACATCGACCAGCTCCGACCACCGTAGGCATATGCATGCTTGAAGTAACCAAACAGGGGGTCCCATCCATCTGACGGTTGTTGTAAAGTGCTGACAAACAGGCGACCTGATCAAATGTTCCAACTATTAAAAGGCTAATAGTATAAGCCACTCAAGTGACACCATATACCTCAGAGTTTCAACTTCATTGTCTAGAGATTTCTTGTGGGTTTACCAACGCCTACTCCAGTTATGGGTCATGACTACGAAAGCCTAATCCTACCACTTTGATAGCACAGGTTATTTTTTTAAACATAAATTGTCGTTGTTTAAATTCTTTGTCTATTTTTTCGAAATTCGAGTTTTTTCTCTTTGTTTCTATTATCTTCTTGAAATTTCGAGTTTTGTGAATAGAGTATATTTGAAGTAACGACCAATAGAACGAAAGTCTAATGCTGCCCTTTTTGTAGCATTAAATAGTTTTTCAACGAAAGTTCACGTTGTTTCGATTATTTTCTCGTTGTTTCGATTATTTTCTCCTCTAATTTTCTCGTTACTTCAAGTTTCTGTCCAAAACCTGAAGTTTTTGACAGAAACTTGAAGCAACGAGAAAATACTCAAAGCAACGAATAATCCAAGTAACGAGAAAATTATGGAAATAACGAGGAAATACTCCCAAGCGCCGACCATATAATCGAAACAACGAGAGATGTTGCTGAAAGAATATTTCATGATACAGAAGTGGCAGCATTAGGCGTTCGTACAATAAAAGTATAGAGAAAAGAAACGAAAATTGCACAGAAAAATAAACAAATAATTAAAACATTTATGCCCCCAAAGTGCCAACATTTTTATTTTCATGTTGCTAAAATGGTCATGATAGGATAATAACGTACTCACCGAGTTCAGCATCATCGTTCAAGGCCGATTTTGTAGTTGCATCAAGATTCGGATCAAACAAAGAATCTGCACAGAAAACGTAACTCCTTTCACAAATCTACACACAGTTGGGTATACGGCCACGACACGTACATAAGAGGGTACAGAATTTAATGTGAAAAACCACTTTGTGATATTTAAAGATGTCTTTGATTAAAAGTACAAATGTATCGATTATCAAATTCAGGACAAGCAGAATCTCTTTTGTTTAAATATCTGTTTCAGTGTGGTCTGGCTTTTCTTCTGTGATTCCAAAAGGTATTGCGTACCATCAATAAGGCGTGCTCTGACTGCCTCGTTAAATGCTACCCCCTCTACAGCTGTGGTGTAGGCCTTGTATGCCCCGGTGTTGGCGGTCACAAGGAAGGTGCTGTTGTTAAAGTGGAGTATGTCAGCGTTCTTTGCCTGATAGAAACTCCGAATGTTCCGACGCACAAGGTTGACATTGTCGTTCCCAGGACTCACAACTACAACACAGCATTATACAAAATTAATTATAATTTCGACGGCATGCTGCCAAGGTTGAGAAGACATCAAAGATGCAATACGGCGAAAAAAAGTTACCCACTACACTTTGTTGCCCTTTACACCACGTTTGTCAGTATATGACGTTACCCACTACACTTTGTTGCCCTTTACACCACGCTTGTCATTATATGACGTTACCCACTACACTTTGTTGCCCTTTACATCACGCTTGTCAGTATATGACGTTACTCATTACACTTTGTTGCCCTTTACACCACGTTTGTCAGTATATGACGTTACCCACTACACTGTGTTGCCCTTTACACCATGTTTGTCAGTATATGACGTTACCCACTACACTTTGTTGCCCTTTACACCACGTTTGTCAGTATATGACGTTACCCACTACACTTTGTTGCCCTTTACACCACGTTTGTCAGTATATGACGTTACCCACTACACTTTGTTGCCCTTTACACCACGTTTGTCAGTATATGACGTTACCCACTACACTTTGTTGCCCTTTACACCACGTTTGTTAGTATATGACGTTACCCACTACACTTTGTTGCCCTTTACACCACGTTTGTCAGTATATGACGTTACCTACTACACTTTGTTGCCCTTTACACCACGTTTGTCAGTATATGACGTTACCCACTACACTTTGTTGCCCTTTACACAACGTTTGTCAGTATATGACGTTACCCACTACACTTTGTTGCCCTTTACACCACGCTTGTCATTATATGACGTTACCCACTACACTTTGTTGCCCTTTACATCACGCTTGTCAGTATATGACGTTACTCATTACACTTTGTTGCCCTTTACACCACGTTTGTCAGTATATGACGTTACCCACTACACTTTGTTGCCCTTTACACCATGTTTGTCAGTATATGACGTTACCTACACTTTGTTGCCCTCTTTACACCACGTTTGTCAGTATATGACGTACACTACACTTTTGTTGCCCTTACACCACGTTTGTCGGTATATGACGTTACCCACTACACTTTGTTGCCCTTTACACCACGTTTGTCGGTATATGGCGTTACCCACTACACTTTGTTGCCCTTTACACCACGTTTGTCAGTATATGACGTTACCCACTACACTTTGTTGCCCTTTACACCACGTTTGTCAGTATATGACGTTACCCACTACACTTTGTTGCCCTTTACACCACGTTTGTCAGTATATGACGTTACCCACTACACTTTGTTGCCCTTTACACCACGTTTGTCAGTATATGACGTTACCCACTACACTTTGTTGCCCTTTACACCACGTTTGTCAGTATATGACGTTACCCACTACACTTTGTTGCCCTTTACACCACGTTTGCCAGTATATGACGTTACCCACTACACTTTGTTGCCCTTTACACCACGTTTGTCAGTATATGACGTTACCCACTACACTTTGTTGCCCTTTATACCACGCTTGTCAGTATATGACGTTACCCACTACACTTTGTTGCCCTTCTCACCACCACGCTTTCTTGTCAGTATATGACGTTACCCACTACACTGTTGCCCTTACAATTCACGCTTGTCAGTATATGACGTTACCCACTACACTTTGTTGTCCTTCACACCACGCTTGTCAGTATATGACGTTACCCACTACACTTTGTTGCCCTTTACACCACGCTTTTCAGTATCTGACGTTACCCACTACATTTTGTTGCCCTTTACACCTCGTTTGTCAGTATATGACGTTACCCACTACACTTTGTTGCCCTTTACACAACGCTTTGTCAGTATGTGACGTTGCCGTACTACATTTGTTGCCCTTTACACCACGCCAGTCAGTATATGACGTTACCCACTACACTTTGTTGCCCTTTGGCACCACGTTTGTCATCAGTATATGACGTTACCCACTACACTGTGCGTTGCCCTTTACACCACGTTTGTCAGCATATGACGTTACCCACTACATTTTGTTGCCCTTTACACCACGTTTGTCAGTATAATGACGTTACCCACTGCACTGTGTTGCCCTTTTACATAACGTTTGTCAGTATATGACGCTACCCACTTACACTCTTGTTGTCTTTACACCACGCTTTCACAGTATATGACGTTACCCACTACACTTTGTTGCCCTTTTACACAACGTTTGTCAGTATATGACGTTACCCACCACACTGTGTTGCCCTTGCCAATCTCAATACCGCTGTCGATATGACGTTACCCCACTACACCCTTTGTTGCCCCTTTACACCACGTTTGTCAGTATATGACGTTACCCACTACACTTTGTTGCCCTTTACACCACGTTTGTCAGTATATGACGTTACCCACTACACTTTGTTGCCCTCTTACACCACGTTTGTCAGTATATGACGTTACCTTACTACACTTTTCTGTTGCCCTTTTATACCACGTTTGTTAGTATATGACGTTACCCACTACTTCTTTGTTGCCCTTCTACACCACGCTTGTCAGTATATGACGTTACCCACTACACTTTATTTCCACACCATGCGTTACTTCTACTCAATGGCGACTTGTGAATACATACAAGCGTCAGCCACAACACTATATTTGGATACTACCGGAAGAAAGATTAACACGTATTTAGAATGACCTTTTCGAACGGGTATGCATTTACAACGATAGAAAACACACCTTCACTTAGTGAGAAGATTATCGCTTTTCTCTCGATCATTGGCATGTAGCGACAATGTGACAAATACCTGGAAGTGCAAGAGGGAGTTATATTGTTTAAGCTGAATAAATTAACCCTCTCTGAATTCTGGAAGCGATATACATGTATTGCCTACCATTGCTCTTTTGTCACCGGTGTCGTCGTTGTTCCAGTTCCGGTGCTAAGGTTGTGGGAGTATATGTCTACACCGCCCGCCAGTATCGTCCGTGCTCAGAATTTACGTAAAGCACAGCCTTTTCTGCGACATGTGATGAAAACGTTATGGCTTCCGCGTAATGTATATTTACCAGCAGAGCTGTTTTCTACATAACTAAATTCTATTCCTCCTGAATCTGATCCAAGAAGTGGCGATCTAGACAACTCTCGGCTAGATAGGAATCAATCTACCTCCTCCGGCAGCTAGGTCTTTCACTACAACGCCACCTCTCAACGACAAGATTCATTGCCCATGGGTTCCTCTTATCAGAAATATTTATGACATCTATGAAAAACGCCTTTCAACTAGGGAACACCATAAGTGTTTATCACAAGCAAACACACACACGCACACAGTTATATGACGTTACCCACTACACTTTGTTGCCCTTTATACCACGCTTGTCAGTATATGACGTTACCCACTACACTGTGTTGCCCTTTACACCACGTTTGTCAGTATATGACGTTACCCACTACATTTTGTTGCCCTTTACACCACGTTTGTCAGGATATGACGTTACCCACTACATTTTGTTGCCCTTTACACCACGTTTGTCAGTATATGACGTTACCCACTGCACTGTGTTGCCCTTTACACAACGTTTGTCAGTATATGACGTTACCCACTACACTTTGTTGCCCTTTTGACCACGCTTGTCAGTATATGACGTTACCCACTACACTTTGTTGCCCTTTACACCACGCTTGTCGAGTATATGACGTTACCTCACTTACATTTTGTTGCCCTTACACCTCGTTTGTCGGTATATGGCGACGTTACCCACTACACTTTGTTGCCCTTTACACCACGTTTGTCAGTATATGACGTTACCCACTACATTTGTTGCCCTTTACACCACGTTTGTCAGTATATGACGTTACCCACTACACTTTGTTGCCCTTTACACCACGTTTGTCAGTATATGACGTTACCCACTACACTGTGTTGCCCTTTACACCACGTTTGTCAGTATATGACGTTACCCACTACATTTTGTTGCCCTTTACACCACGTTTGTCAGTATATGACGTTACCCACCGCTACACTTTGCTGCCCTTTACACAACGTTTGTCAGTATATGACGTTACCCACTACACTTTGTTGCCCTTTACACCACGCTTGTCAGTATATGACGTTACCCACTACACTTTGTTGCCCTTTACACCACGTTTGTCAGTATATGACGTTACCCACTACACTGTGTTGCCCTTTACACCACGTTTGTCAGGATATGACGTTACCCACTACACTTTGTTGCCCTTTACACCACGTTTGTCAGTATATGACGTTACCCACTACACTTTGTTGCCCTTTACACCACGTTTGTCAGTATATGACGTTACCCACTACACTTTGTTGCCCTTTACACCACGCTTGTCAGTATATGACGTTACCCACTACACTTTGTTGCCCTTTATACCACGTTTGTTAGTATATGACGTTACCCACTACTTTTGTTGCCCTTTACACCACGCTTGTCAGTATATGACGTTACCCACTACACTTTATTTCCACACCATGTTACTCACTAAATATGATTTCAGAATACATTACGTCAGCCACAACACCATATTTGACACTACCGGAAGAAAGACACACGTATTTAGAATGACCTGAACGTGTAAGTATTTACACGATAGAAAACACACCTTCACTTAGTGAGAACATTATCATTTTTCTCTGATCATTGTCATGTAGCTACAATGTGACAACACCAGGGCGTGCAAGAGGGAGTTATATTGTTTAAGTTAGCTAGCCAATCCTCTGAATTCTGGAAGCGATATACATGTATTGCCTACCATTGTCTTTGTCACTGGTGTCGATGTCAAAGTTGTTCCAGTCTTTGGTGCCAAGGCTGTATATGTCTACACCGCCCGCCAGATTGTCCAGGTCGAACTTGGCTATAGCATTGTTTTCCTGCGACATGTGATGAAAAACGTTATGGTCATGTAATGTATATTTACCAGCAGAGCTGTTTTCACATAACTAAATTCATTGCCCTCTGAATCTGATCCAAGAAGTGGCGATCTAGACACCACACTCTCAATAGATAGAATCACCTACCTCTCCTCCAGCGTCTTTCACACAACGCCACCTTCAACGACAAGATCTATTGCCCATGGGTTCCTCTTATCAATGAAATATTTATGACATCTATGAAAAACGCCTTTCAACTAGGAACATATGTTTATCACAAGCAAACACACACACACGCACACACACACACACACACACCAGTACATCCATTACACCTCAAAGGAAACTGCAAGAGGCCATAGACATCAAGGCATCCCAGACGTTAATCAACCGTGACCAGGGAATATGTCTGTCATCGAGCTTATCACTTTCAGGACTATATATGCCTGGATTAATTCCTGGCCTCTACTTGTTTATTGCCATTAACCACTGGCGTCTCTTCTTTTCTTATCACTGTTGTTGATTCCCCGAAAGATGTCATATATATTTCAGTGATGACTGGAGACAGAGGAGAACCCATATTCAGTCCATGTATTTGCCTGTAGATCTTGTGTCAAGACACCTGGAGGCGAGGTTGATGATTCTTTCTATGGTGAGTATGGTGTCAAGGTCGTCACTTCTGGTTTGGAGCTTGTTGCGGAGGATGTTATCTTATCACTGCTGTTGTTTCACATGCACATAAGTTATATAGACATCTGTTTCCTAGTTTTTTCATTCACCTGATGAAGGAGTATGAATATACTCCGAAGTGTCGTGTTCCTCAAAATAAAGTTGAAATCAATAAATTCGTGAAATTATGAGCATCACTTCTAAATGCCGTTCACAGACATCTCTAATTGACAAGAAAGATATGTTGGAGGATGCAATGTCAGTGTTCACATGATGGTAGTTACTTTTGGTGGGTGCGATGTCAGTGTTCACATGATGGTAGTTACTTTTGGTGGGTGCGATGTCAGTGTTCACATGATGGTAGTTACTGTTGGTTGGTGCGATGTCAGTGTTCACATGATGGTAGTTACTGTTGGTGGGTGCGATGTCAGTGTTCACATGATGGTAGTTACTGTTGTTTGGTGCGATGTCAGTGTTCACATGATGGTAGTTACTGTTGGTGGGTTCGATGTCAGTGTTCTCATGATGGTAGTTACTGTTGGTGGGTTCGATGTCAGTGTTCACATGATGGTAGTTACTGTTGGTTTGGTGCGATGTCAGTGTTCACATGATGGTAGTTACTGTTGGTGGGTTCGATGTCAGTGTTCACATGATGGTAGTTACTGTTGGTGGGTTCGATGTCAGTGTTCACATGATGGTAGTTACTGTTGGTTGGTTCGATGTCAGTGTTCACATGATGGTAGTTACTGTCGGTTGTTCGATGTCAGTGTTCACATGATGGTAGTTACTGTTGGTGGGTGCGATGTCAGTGTTCACATGATGGTAGTTACTGTTGGTGGGTTCGATGTCAGTGTTCACATGATGGTAGTTACTGTTGGTGGGTGCGATGTCAGTGTTCACATGATGGTTGTTACTGTTGGTGGGTGCGATGTCAGTGTTCACATGATGGTAGTTACTGTTGGTGGGTGCGATGTCAGTGTTCACATGATGGTAGTTACTGTTGGTGGGTGCGATGTCAGTGTTCACATGATGGTAGTTACTGTTGGTTGGGTGCGATGTCAGTGTTCACATGATGGTTGTTACTGTTGGTGGGTGCGATGTCAGTGTTCACATGATGGTAGTTACTGTTGGTGGGTGCGATGTCAGTGTTCACATGATGGTAGTTACTGTTGGTTTGGTGCGATGTCAGTGTTCACATGATGGTTGTTACTGTTGGTGGGTGCGATGTCAGTGTTCACATGATGGTAGTTACTGTTGGTGGGTGCGATGTCAGTGTTCACATGATGGTAGTTACTGTTGGTGGGTGCGATGTCAGTGTTCACATGATGGTTGTTACTGTTGGTGGGTGCGATGTCAGTGTTCACATGATGGTAGTTACTGTTGGTGGGTGCGATGTCAGTGTTCACATGATGGTAGTTACTGTTGGTGGGTGCGATGTCAGTGTTCACATGATGGTAGTTACTGTTGGTGGGTGCGATGTCAGTGTTCACATGATGGTAGTTACTGTTGGTGGGTGCGATGTCAGTGTTCACATGATGGTAGTTACTGTTGGTGGGTGCGATGTCAGTGTTCACATGATGGTAGTTACTGTTGGTTGGTGCGATGTCAGTGTTCACATGATGGTAGTTACTGTTGGTGGGTGCGATGTCAGTGTTCACATGATGGTAGTTACTGTTGGTGTGCGATGTCAGTGTTCACATGATGGTAGTTACTGTTGGTGGGTGCGATGTCAGTGTTCACATGATGGTTGTTACTGTTGGTGGGTGCGATGTCAGTGTTCACATGATGGTAGTTACTGTTGGTGGGTGCGATGTCAGTGTTCACATGATGGTAGTTACTGTTGGTGGGTGCGATGTCAGTGTTCACATGATGGTAGTTACTGTTGGTGGGTGCGATGTCAGTGTTCACATGATGGTAGTTACTGTTGGTGGGTGCGATGTCAGTGTTCACATGATGGTAGTTACTGTTGGTGGGTGCGATGTCAGTGTTCACATGATGGTAGTTACTGTTGGTTGGATGCCAGTGCAATGTCAGTGTTCACATGATGGTAGTTACTGTTGGTGGGTGCGATGTCAGTGTTCACATGATGGTTGTTACTGTTGGTGGGTGCGATGTCAGTGTTCACATGATGGTAGTTACTGTTGGTGGGTGCGATGTCAGTGTTCACATGATGGTAGTTACTGTTGGTGGGTGCGATGTCAGTGTTCACATGATGGTAGTTACTGTTGGTTGGTGCGATGTCAGTGTTCACATGATGGTTGTTACTGTTGGTGGGTGCGATGTCAGTGTTCACATGATGGTAGTTACTGTTGGTGGGTGCGATGTCAGTGTTCACATGATGGTAGTTACTGTTGGTGGGTGCGATGTCAGTGTTCACATGATGGTTGTTACTGTTGGTGGGTGCGATGTCAGTGTTCACATGATGGTAGTTACTGTTGGTTTGTGCGATGTCAGTGTTCACATGATGGTTGTTACTGTTGGTGGGTGCGATGTCAGTGTTCACATGATGGTAGTTACTGTTGGTGGGTGCGATGTCAGTGTTCATGATGGTAGTTACTGTTGGTGGGTGCGATGTCAGTGTTCACATGATGGTAGTTACTGTTGGTGGGTGCGATGTCAGTGTTCACATGATGGTAGTTACTGTTGGTGGGTGCGATGTCAGTGTTCACATGATGGTAGTTACTGTTGGTTGGTGTTCGATGTCAGTGTTCACATGATGGTAGTTACTGTTGGTGGGTGCGATGTCAGTGTTCACATGATGGTAGTTACTGTTGGTGGGTGCGATGTCAGTGTTCACATGATGGTAGTTACTGTTGGTGGGTGCGATGTCAGTGTTCACATGATGGTAGTTACTGTTGGTGGGTGCGATGTCAGTGTTCACATGATGGTAGTTACTGTTGGTGGGTGCGATGTCAGTGTTCACATGATGGTAGTTACTGTTGGTGGGTGCGATGTCAGTGTTCACATGATGGTAGTTACTACTGTTGGTGGGTTCGATGTCAGTGTTCACATGATGGTAGTTACTGTTGGTTTGGTGCGATGTCAGTGTTCACATGATGGTAGTTACTGTTGGTGGGTGCGATGTCAGTGTTCACATGATGGTTGTTACTGTTGGTGGGTGCGATGTCAGTGTTCACATGATGGTAGTTACTGTTGGTGGGTGCGATGTCAGTGTTCACATGATGGTAGTTACTGTTGGTGGGTGCGATGTCAGTGTTCACATGATGGTAGTTACTGTTGGTGGGTGCGATGTCAGTGTTCACATGATGGTAGTTACTGTTGGTTGGTGCGATGTCAGTGTTCATATGATGGTAGTTACTGTTGGTGGGTGCGATGTCAGTGTTCACATGATGGTAGTTACTGTTGGTGGGTGCGATGTCAGTGTTCACATGATGGTAGTTACTGTTGGTGGGTGCGATGTCAGTGTTCACATGATGGTAGTTACTGTTGGTTGGTTCGATGTCAGTGTTCACATGATGGTTGTTACTGTTGGTGGGTGCGATGTCAGTGTTCACATGATGGTAGTTACTGTTGGTGGGTGCGATGTCAGTGTTCACATGATGGTTGTTACTGTTGGTGGGTGCGATGTCAGTGTTCACATGATGGTTGTTACTGTTGGTGGGTGCGATGTCAGTGTTCACATGATGGTTGTTGCTGTCGGTTTGTGCGATGTCAATATTCACATGTTGGTTGTTACTGTTGGTGGGTGCGATGTCAGTGTTCACATGATGGTAGTTACTGTTGGTGGGTGCGATGTCAGTGTTCACATGATGGTAGTTACTGTTGGTTTGTGCGATGTCAGTGTTCACATGATGGTAGTTACTGTTGGTGGGTGCGATGTCAGTGTTCACATGATGGTAGTTACTGTTGGTGGGTGCGATGTCAGTGTTCACATGATGGTAGTTACTGTCGGTTTGTGCGATGTCAGTGTTCACATGATGGTAGTTACTGTTGGTGGGTGCGATGTCAGTGTTCACATGATGGTAGTTACTGTTGGTGGGTGCGATGTCAGTGTTCACATGATGGTAGCTACTGTTGCGCGTCGTGTTCACTGTTGGTGGTTGGTGCGATGTCAGTGTTCACATGATGGTTGTTACTGTTGGTGGGTGCGATGTCAGTGTTCACATCATGATAGTTACTACTGTTGGTGGGTGCGATGTCAGTGTTCACATGATGGTTGTTACTGTTGGTGGGTGCGATGTCAGTGTTCACATGATGGTTGTTGCTGTCGGTTTGTACGATGTCAGTGTTCACATGATGGTTGTTACTGTTGGTGGGTGCGATGTCAGTGTTCACATGATGGTAGTTACTGTTGGTTTGTGCGATGTCAG